ATAGCTATCCTTTGACACACTAAGAGAGAGACAAATGCCATAACCCGCAACGGTTGCATCCATTCCAGGTACGTGTAGTTTATAGTTCATTGTACTAGTTGCCTCGTGTTGCGCGCGCATACAGGAAAAATAGATTGTCATTGCAGATACGACATTTTTTTTACACGTGACTTCAAATTGATTTTATATAAATTAAACACGTGACAACTGTCAAAATTGACAGGTAATATACTAACAAAGAATTAAACGTCATTTGTCAAATCAATTGGTCTATTGTTAATATGTCAGCTGCTTGAAAATCTGTCATGTTGCAATAACAACAAGTATGTCATAGTCATAAAAAAGTCGTTTTCACGTATCTCCAATATGGGTTTCCATGTATCTTCAATGGATATTTACGTTTCTCTGCAGATATCCATGGATTTCCAGGGATATCCACATATCTTTACGAGATTTCCATCTCAGGGGCAGAAGATTTCCACAGTGTCAACCCCCTCGGAGGTAGTCACTTGCGCCAGAAAATCTCCATTTGTGGAGATCTTCTTGAAACTTCTTCTGTCTGAATATGCTTAGATCTACAGGGGGGATATCCTGATGGAATATTCAGGCATATTCTGGAATCTCCATGGGATTTCTATGTATCTCTTCCGGACCACAATTTGGAATCAAAATTCACAAAACACGATTTGAATTACCATAAAATTGTTTCTAATTTGAATTTTAGGCACAAGCAACAGGCCGCAACATTAATTATTATAAGAATCGAAATTACCAGGTTGTAATATTTTGAAGTTCTGAATTTCAATGTTTGGGTATTTTGAGCCCTTTGGGGACATTAGAAAACCAAGAAAAGTCAGTTTACACATCAGTATTGTGCCCAAAAGGCTCAGAAATCTAAAAACTCCTGATGAATGAATGAAATTTACCTTGTCGTCCTTGTCCAACGGACCATGGCATTAACTACAATATGTCAGCCAAACATAAGTCATAAAAATCAAATTTAGTTTTTGACTAAATGACATTTGTCATATCGCTATGACGAGAAAATTTATGATACAGAAATGTGAGGAATTTTGGAAATCAAGTCTTATTATCAAATAAAGTGTTTCAAATGTCATGTGGATTGACAAATACCTATGTTAAGCTGGCTTGTTTTCCGACAAATTTTAATTTTTAGAAGGTATTCAAGCGGTTGACAGGTGGAACATAAATAGTGAATTAAAGGTCATTTTTCAACTAATCAAATGCATTGTTCATTTGTTAAGGTTACCTGCTTAAAAACTGCTTATGTTGTCATAGTCATGAAAGACGAATTTATTTTCTGACTATGACCATGATGTTAAGTACTTCATTTATCAATGACATAAAATTAAAAGTCAAATTAACTTTGTCATGTCGCTATGACGAGAAAATTTATGACACAATAAGTGGGGGGTTTCATATTCCTTTGTGGTTGGCAACCAAACCGGAAATATCCAATCGAAAAGCAACGAGGTTTCGATGTCAAAATCCCCAGGCGAAGTATAATAAAATAGAAACGCTACCTCTCGGCACGGTTTGCAGCGTTGCCACACGGCGTTGGGTGACTAACCTCTCTAGCTAGTGGAGCCGATTTCCCCTTTCTCCTTAACACAAAATGGGACCGTCCAATGCGGTTTATTTTGTTCCAATTCTACAAGGTCACTTTGAGAAAATATTATTTTTATATTTTGACGTTTCGTTTTTTAATCATCAGGACATAATATTTTGAAATATGTGACGCATTGATAAATATTAATATTATGTAACACGTGGCATAAAGGGCTAATTACAATATTGAAGATTGGAGTATTTTTTGGGGTTTAAGATAATGCCTTCTTTGACTCTGTATGGCAATATATACCTAACAAAATTATTGTAGAGTTACATAAATTCAAAAAGTGTCAAAAATTGACACAATTCTTTGTACCTAAGATGTTCATCCTGGAAATTAATTTAAAACATTTTGACTTGCAATAAAACCTTAAACTAAGCCCTCAACAATAAAACCTTTTGATTTTGAAGCATTATACCTACCTACCTACCTGCTACATGGATTGATTGTTTAGGGGAAAAGTATAATTATTCAAAAATAAGGCTACCTAGAAATACCTACCTACATTTGAAGTGAATAATTCCAAACCCTTTAGAAGTTAAGAGTCATATTATTACATGGCTAGGGAGAATGTTAAGTCTTAAAAGGTTGTCTACATTTAAAACAAGACCAATAATGTTCCAGGAATTTAAATGTGTCTTTGAATAAGCAAACATATTTTAGATTTAGAGGCGAATATTTAAGAAATATTCTATTATTGTATTCAAGTAAATGAGTGTTTCTAGAGAATTCCTGGGCCTCAAACACCTTATCATAAATCAGGTTTGGTTTTGTCAATAAGACTGTATTTTTGAGATCGTATGTATCTACAAAAATACAGAAAACATACATTAAAACTGTACAAACAATCTTAACAAAGTGTGTAAATCCATTACACATTTATTAACTAATTTTAGAAATTGTTTCTTCTACTTATCAGATAGAATTAATTAGCAAATTGTATACGTAAATTGAACACCCTGTATAGGTGTATAAAGGCCTATTTACATTACAGTAATATAATGACAGCTCATGTCAAAATTAGTTATGAGCATTTTTTTTCTAAATTAATTCCTGTTTATACTACTCATATATTTATATCGACATTAATTATTCGTTGTTTACTCGAACTTTAACCTTGACTATATACATTAAGCTTATCAAAACCAGCCATTATTGTACATTTTACGTTGGTAACATTTTTGCTATACAACTAACTGTCTTCAAGCTTCATATTTGACAACCGAAATGCTTGAAATTACAAAACAAAAACTGTAGTTTGGTATTTAATGCTTGAATTGGTTTTGGTCGATAACCTTGAAGGCTAAAAATAGAACCGCAGCGAACGGCGCGTCATGTTCAAAGCGCTTAGGAATAGTACAGTAAAATACTTACAAAGGTGACCTTCAAAATTCTACACTTTTAACTGCGATCTTTTATACTTGAATGTTGCAATGATTATTTTTGACATCAAATGTCATTATAAAGCTGTGTACCTACCCTTAATTGAATCAGTCCTGGGAAGGGAGGGAGACGTCAACGGTTTCACCCTATAGCTTATCTTTTGTTCACTAAATAGCTATGTGTAAAGTGAAAAAAAAAAGCTTTACATAAGGTTGCCTGATAAAAAAAATATTATGACTTCATCAGAGGGGTGTTTAAATGCAAATATCCATAAGGTCGTGTTTATGTTGGAGCTGTGACACTCGATAAAAGCAACGATACTAATGTAAAGTATCATTAGTATCGTTGCTTTTATCGTTTATCACAGCTCCAACATAAACACCGCCTTAAGCACCACAGATGACGTCATCAAGTTATCCCTTACCAGACAACCTAATAAGTTCAGGCTTTACACACATGTTCCTAGGGGCCGTTGAACGGTAACAAATTTGGGAGAAAACGTGTTATTCACCAGCGCTATTTATGCATCAAAACTAACCCAAACTCAAAATTTGACAATAGTTTTTGTTAAGAATAAACGGTCCCTAGGGACTCAATGGAAAATACTTTTATGGCAGCAAAAAGTCCTTCGTAAACTGTTAATTTCGGTGCATACATAGCGGTTTTATTTGACACGATATATTTTGAAATAAGACCTGTCAGAATACTAACTGTGGACACCTTGTATAAATTCTTCAATATTTGTCATCATACGGCAAAGTTTCACCCTATAGATTCTATGTTGATAATAAAAATACATCATTGGAAAATTTAAATCAGGCTCAGTACAATGTGAACATGACTTAAGACCATATTATTGACAAGTGACAATTGCCCTGAATCTATAAATAAGACATTTAGCAGCCTGTCGGAACACTATTCACTGTGGACACCCTGTATAAATTCTTCAATTATTTGTACTAATGGAAATGGAATGTGATTTTACAAAAGATTAGGCCGGAATTTCATGCATCCATTTTCCGACGAAATATGTCTGAAAAATCTTCTATTTTGACATATTTTTATACGATTATGTCAAAATAGAATGTTTTTCGGACATCTTTCGTCGGAAAAACGGATGCATGAAATTCCAGCTTTATTCTACCCAAGGTAGGTTGCATGATAACTTTTATGACGTCATCTGGATGCCTAAACCTAATGCAAATCTTCATCAAAGGCGTTTTCTCGCGTCCACTTTTTTGAAACTGGTTCAAAACTGTTTTGATAGAGTACATTCTCGCGATAAACCCATGACGTCACGTCAAAATTGGTTCAAACCGTTTCGAAATACAAATTATGACGTCATGATGTCATTACTTGAACCAGTTTTGAAAAATATTTTGAAACATTTGAGACGCGAGAAAACGCCTTAGATCTTCCTAATGACGTCGATTCTACCTACCTTCATAAAAAAAATATACGTACATATTAAGTATTGGAAAATTTATATCAGCAAAAAAAAATATTATGATGTGAACACGTCTTAAGAAGACCATATTATTGACAAGTGACAATTGCCTCTCTCTATAAATCTGACATTTGACAGTCGCTCAGAACACTTTACCGTGAACACCCTGTATAAATTCTTCAATATTTATACTATAGTAATAATAATAATAACATTAATAAAATGAGATTATAAATTTGAAATTAACTGGATCGACCTTTCTCCCACCTACCTACCGCCATTTTGTGACAACAAAATTGGCTGTGGCTAAGCCAAAATACCCAACAACGTTGCCAAATATTCGGTTTCTGCTCACAAGCGAATCATGTTTTGACTTACCTGATTAATATTAAACCAACTTCTGAGTAATTATCACAAATAAAACTGGCAACGCTTTTGATCCTACTACAACTACATTTTATTTCAAGTAGGCCTTTGAAATTTTAATTTCTTCAAATGGCAACAGTGTTAACACAAATTATTAACAAAATTTCTTACCTTCTTCTTCTTCTTATTCACAATAATCGTATATAACACGCCCCATAAACGAGAAAATTCACAACAAAATTCGTACCGTAACCCGCAAGATCTCGATCGCGTCTGCCGCCAGCCAGTGACGTCGATGGAAAAAAATGTGACGCGACGTTGCCAGCTGATTTTCTCAACGAATGCGCATCGCCTTCCCCCACTCTTGCTGCGTCATGCTCATTACAATTGGCGAATGCTGGTTGATTTCGTGAGCAGAGCCACTTTTCTGAGTCTGGAAACGGACACCATGGAGGTTGGAAATTATTATTTATTAAAAAAGTGATTTTTGAAAAGAAGCTTTTTATTATTTAAATAATTTAGGTGTTTTCTCGTCTTTCAAAGTTTTGAAACAATTTTTCAAAACTGGTTTGAAACAGTTTCACAGTGACGTCATAACTTCTCGACGCGAAAAAATGGCATCAATTCAAAATGTGTATTTCGGAAAGGTTTGAACCAAATTTGATGTGACGTCATGATGGGTTCATTGCCATCAGACCATTTTCAAACAAGTGAACGCAAGAAAACAGCTTATGTAAATGTATTTATAAAAATAGATTTTTCTTATATAAATAATTATTTTATTATATAAGGACAAGCCTGCCATCTGTGGGTGCTTCACTAAACCATTTCGCCTCCTAGATCAGTAAAAATGGCGCCACTTTGTTATATAATTACCGATAGGTGGCGCTGTAATTGTATAATGGTTGCATTGTCTGTTTGTATACTGCAACTTGATGTAGATGTCGCCTATTTTAGTTATATAAACGGTTTATTAACAGTTTTATCATTTATGTTATATAATTTCATAAAAAGGTTGCAAGATCGTTTGATTTGAGAATTACAGTTCCTTGTAGGTTGATATAAATTCGGGACATGCATTCTAGAGGAGGATACAATATATCGATATACAGGGTGATTCAAATTCGATACTCTCTATTGGTATCTCGGAAACGGTGAGAGATACCAAGAATGATACACACTACTACTACAGGATAGCCATGCTAAATCATCAGTTGTGAGTTGTGATATAGGCAGCATGTTATTTATCGCCTTAACGTAGGCTGTTTAAACAACAAACGACTTACTTACCAATACGCCGCCATATTGCCAATATGGCGTGTATCATCCTTCAAGAAATACGAGGTCGATTGAGAAGAAAAAAAATGGCAGATAAAAGGACATTGTACTAGTGCGAAAAAGTACTTTTCTGCACTAGCGGAAAAGAAAATCATGACCTCTGAACAGCGTGCGGGAAAAAAGGGTTTTACGCACGCTTGTAGAAAACTAATAAAACCCTCTTTGCAGAAATTCATCTTATGATCAATTTTTCGCGGTAAAATACCTATTACTTGTACAAATTTTGCATAGATGTCGCCACCAACGCCAAAAATTTCCTCTTTCATCTCTTTCTAACACCATATAAAAGACAAGGATATAAAAGCAATGTCCGTCAAACACAGCTGATTTTGAATTTGAATTAATTAAAATCCCTTTAAGTTTTTTAAAAATGTCTTCAACCAGAGAAAAATACGGGCCCCTAATAGGTGCCATAGATGAAGGAACATCTAGCACTAGATTTCTGGTAAGCTTTATACAATTTAAACAACCTAAACTAAAATTGTCAAAAGGTTTTTGCATCTAAAACTGCGGAAGTACTGACCTACCACCAAAAAGAAGTACCGCACATTTGTCCGCACGAAGGCTGGTTCGAACAAGATCCCTTAGTAATTCTCCAAGCCGTTTTAGAAACAATAAACGTAACTTGCGATAACTTGAAAAAGCTAAACTTAGACTTTGAAGACATCGTAGCTGTGGGTATAACAAACCAAAGAGAAACTACAGTTTTGTGGGACAAAACTACCGGCAAACCGCTTTATAACGCTTTAGTATGGATGGATATGAGGACTTCAAATACTGTAGATGAAGTACTGCAATATGGCAAAAGAGACCAGTACTTTTTGCAGTACGCTTGTGGTTTACCTGTTAGTACCTACTTCAGCGCTTTGAAAATCAAATGGATGATGGACAACGTCCCGGAAGTGAAGCAGGCCATGAAATCGGGCAATTGCTTATTTGGAAATATCGACACTTGGATTATTTGGGTAAAAATGTATAATCAAAATATAGGAATATTATTAATATTGGCCTTAAAGAATTTAACAGGTGGTACCAAAGGTGGTTTGCACATTACGGATTGCACCAATGCGTCAAGAACCATGTTGATGAATATTGAAACACTGAAGTGGGATGCTCAGTTGTGCAGGATTTTCGATATTCCGATGAATGTTTTGCCTGAGATTCGGTCTTGTTCGGAAATTTATGGGTATATTGCTGACGGGTTGAAGTTGGCCGGGGTGCCGATATCTGGGGTAAAAATAAAGTTTTATATTTTTGAGTGAAAAAATTGTTTGTAAAGTCTTACTTTACATAACATCATTATTTTCAAAAAATCGTAACTCCATTAATAATAGCTCAATCGCTTTGAGTTTTTGGTATTTTTTACATTGAATCATAGGGAAAAAATCCTCAAAAATACAACTTTCCACTCACTTTAGTTTTTGAGTGAAAAAAATGTTTGTATAAAGTCTTACTTTACAAAACATCATTATTTTCAAAAAATCGTAAATCCATAAATAATAACTCAATCGCTTCGAGTTTTTGGTATTTTTTACATTGAATCATTAGGAAAAAGTCCTCAAAATTTCAATTTTCCACTCACTTTAGTTTTTGAGTGAAAAAAATGTTTGTAAAGTCTTACTTTACAAAACATCATTATTTTCAAAAATTCGTAAATCCATAAATAATAACTCAATCGCTTTGAGTTTTTGGTATTTTTTACATTGAATCATTAGGAAAAAATCCTCAAAATTTCAACTTTCCACTCACTTTAGTTTTTGAGTGAAAAAATTGTTTGTAAAGTCTTACTTTACAAAACATCACTATTTTCAAAAAATCGTAACTCCATTAATAATAGCTCAATCGCTTTGAGTTTTTGATATTTTTTACATTGAATCATTAGGAAAAAGTCCTCAAAATTTCAACTTTCCACTCACTTTAGTTTTTGAGTGAAAAAATTGTTTGTAAAGTCTTACTTTACAAATCATCATTATTTTCAAAAAATCGTAACTCCATTAATAATAGCTCAATTGTTTTGAGTTTTTGGCATTTTTTACAATAAATCATTAGGAAAAAGTCCTCAAAATTTCAACTTTCCACTCACTTTAGTTTTTGAGTGAAAAAATTGTTTGTAAAGTCTTACTTTACAAATCATCATTATTTTCAAAAAATCGTAACTCCATTAATAATAACTCAATTGCTTTGAGTTTTAGGTATTTTTTACATTAAATCATTAGGAAAAAATCCTCAAAAATACAACTTTCAACTCACTTTAGTTTTTGAGTGAAAAAATTGTTTGTAAAGTCTTACTTTACAAAATATTATTATTTTCAAAAAATCATAACTCCATTAATAATAGCTCAATCGCTTTGAGTTTTTGGTATTTTTTACATTGAATCATAAGGAAAAAATCCTCAAAAATACAACTTTCCACTCACTTTAGTTTTTGAGTGAAAAAAATGTTTATAAAGTCTTACTTTACAAAATATCATTATTTTCAAAAAATCGTAACCCCGTTAATAATAGCTCAATCGCTTTGGGTTTTTGGTATTTTTTACATTGAATCATTAGGAAAAAGTCCTCAAAATTTCAACTTTCCACTCACTTTAGTTTTTAAGTGAAAAAATGTATGTAAAGTCTTACTTTACAAAACATCATTATTTTCAAAAAATCGTAACTCTATTAATAATAACTCAATCGCTTTGAGTTTCAGGTATTTTTTACATTGAATCATAAGGAAAACGTCCTCAAAATTTCAACTTTCCACTCACTTTAGTTTTTAAGTGAAAAAATTGTTTGTAAAGTCTTACATTACAAAATATTATTATTTTCAAAAAATCATAACTCCATTAATAATAGCTCAATCGCTTTGAGTTTTTGGTATTTTTTACATTGAATTATTAGGAAAAAGTCCTCAAAATTTCAACTTTCCACTCACTTTAGTCTTTGAGTGAAAAAAATGTTTGTATAAAGTCTTACTTTACAAAACATCATTATTTTCAAAAATTCGTAAATCCATAAATAATAACTCAATCGCTTTGAGTTTTTGGTATTTTTTACATTGAATCATTAGGAAAAAATCCTCAAAAATACAACTTTCCACTCACTTTAGTTTTTAAGTGAAAAAATTGTTTGTAAAAGACTTACTTTACAGAACATCATTATTTCCAAAAAATCGTAACTCCATTAATAATAGCTCAATCGCTTTGGGTTTTTGGTATTTTTTACATTGAATCATTAGGAAAAAGTCCTCAAAATTTCAACTTTCCACTCACTTTAGTTTTTGAGTGAAAAAAATGTTTGTAAAGTCTTACTTTACAAAACATCATTATTTTCAAAAAATCGTAACTCCATTAATAATAGCTCAATCGCTTTGAGTTTTTGGTATTTTTTACATTGAATCATTAGAAAAAAGTCCTCAAAATTTCAACTTTCCACACTAGTTTTTGAATAAAAAAATTATTTGTAAAGTCTTACTTTACAAAACATCATTATTTTCAAAAAATCGTAACTCCATTAATAATAACTCAATTGCTTTGAGTTTTTAGTGTTTTTTACATATGATTTTCCCATAATCCATTACCCCCTTCCCAGATAATCATGTATGGACCGCCACTGTTTTTACGTCTGCATTAAATATGTCTGAACGTCTGAAGACTCAAAGAAACATCTCATTGATTGGAGAGTGAATACGTCTTTAGACGGAAGACGTCAGAAAGATGTTGAGTTTTCTAATATACAACATCTTTAAGATAAAAAAAGACACTTTGAAGACTTAAGCAGACATTTTGAATGTCGTTTGTGGACATCTTAAAGTCATCTTTAAAATGTCTCTATCTATTCACAATCCGAAGTCTGAAGGTACAGGTAAAATTTATCACCTTTCAATACTATTTCATAGAGAAAGGTGATAAATTTATCTATACCTTTGGACTTATACAGATTGTGAATAATGTAGTCCAATGGACATAAGCATCAACAGATTCAAATTAATTTTTTGACTATTCCTGGCCCTTGTTTAGGGTAATTTTGTAGTAGAATAGTCAAAATCAATTTCCAATAGGACTTATATTCTGACTTTTGAATTTCAATTTTTGAGAATTATGATATTCAAACAAATGTACTTTTTTAAATAATACTTAAATCCCTCAAACATCCTTTTGATAATCTAGAATCTTCTTCATTAACATCTCATCTGTATAGATTTTGGGTGATCAACAAGCAGCTCTAGTAGGCCAACTATGCTTCAACATCGGCCAAGCCAAAAGTACCTACGGTACCGGCTGTTTTATCCTATACAACACTGGTACCAGCATGGTACATTCCAGTCATGGACTTTTAACTACAGTAGGCTACAAATTAGGCCCCAATCAACCTACAGTGTACGCTTTAGAAGGATCTGTAGCTATAGCTGGAATATCTATTCGTTGGTTGAGAGACAATTTGAAAATAATCCAAGAAGCTGCTGATTCTGCTGAGTTGGCTCAAAATGTTTCAGAATCTGGAGAGGTTGTTTTTGTGCCTGCTTTTTCTGGATTGTATGCACCTTATTGGAGGAAAGATGCTAGAAGGTTTGTTTGGGCAAAAATTTCTATTAATACAAAAGTATAATATTTCTTGTAGCGTTATTTGTGGTTTAACCGAAGAAACAAAGCCTGGGCATTTAATAAAGGCTGCTTTAGAAGGTGTGTGTTATCAGGTAAGGGACGTACTTGAAGCCATGTCTTTGGATTGTGGAATACCTTTAAAAAAAGTTTTGGTTGATGGTGGTATGACTGTTAACGATTATTTAATGCAAATGCAAGCGGATTATACTGGAATACCTGTGGGTTAGTTTAATGTTTAGATTTTTTTAGAGTTTTTATGTAATTGAAATTTCTTTTATAGTGAGGCCAACAATGTTGGAAACTACAGCTTTGGGGGCCGCAATTGCCGCAGGTAGTGCAAAAGGGGTTGAAGTTTGGGACCCTACGAAGATTCAACCTACACCTAATGATGTATTTTCACCGTCTATTAGTATTGATGGTAAGGATTTTGTACTCATATATTTTACAAATTTCAATACAAAAATGTATATTATATTCTTAATTTTGGAATTTTCAGTACGCGATATGAAATATACCAGATGGAAAATGGGCATCAGCCGAAGTTTGGGATGGGCAATTGAAGACGAAAAGAAAACTTGTAAGTAATTTGAATCATTATATAAGGTTTGTATTTGTATAAATTACTTATATTTTTGTTTTTATATTATTAGATCGTTCCTATTTAATGGGTGACGAGGAATCTCATTCAGGTTTGGGCTGATTTTGCAATAATCCTTAGTTTTATTAATATAAATAATTAATAAACATTTATTTTTTTAGCTGAAGAAAGTATTGCATCTGCATTGCCTGGGACTTTGTTTTTGTTTGGAAGTGCTGCACTAATAACATTAGCTCACGTACTAAAAGGTACAACTTGAAAATTAATAAAAATTATTATTATTAGATATTATTATTGGCTGTGGTTATTAAGGAATAAATAAAACTATTGTAAATTATTTATATATTGTTTTTTTTTTTTTAATTTTCCATAAAAGTGGTTTTTGTTTTAAGTACTGAAACACTTGATTGTAATGAAGGGGAGAAAAACCATAGTAGATTACATCATTTTTGATATACTTAAGCTTTTATATACAATTTTTGAAAGATTTTTAACATTAAAATAATAATTACATACAAGTTTTATATAATATTACACATATATTAATTATACAATAATAAATTAAACCTGAGAAAGAAAAACACAAAATTATATTGCACAAAACTTACATTATTATTATATAAGAATCGATAAAACTGTATATAAACACACATTATTTTTTATTACTAATATAAATTTGTCTTCATTATATAATCGAAAAAATCCTACAATATATAAAGAGAATTACAGAAAAATTTGCTGCAATTTATATATCACAAGAAAATCTATAAGTGCAGAATTATTTAATTTTGTATTGTTTAATTGTTTTATATAATAAATAATAAAAAAAAAAAGTATATAATGATTCATCCATCATATTATATAGAGATGATATTTATTCGAGATAAATTAAAATGTATAGAGAGCTCTTTTCAATTTTTGGTGGTCCCCTTATTGCTTCATATAAAACACTACAAATTAATCTTGGAATATTTTTTCTTTGTAAGGAAAAATATTCATAGTTTAGGCCTAAAATCAATTTACTATATATTTATATACAGGGTGTTAAAAGTTGGCGAGTATGTGGGGATCTTGATAACCAACAGTTGTTGTGTTCAACTTTGAGGCTTAATTACTCAAACAGTTTTTGAGCTATCAAACTCAATTTAGCACAGGTTTATAGAGAATTTAATGCTCTTTCCAATGGAGTATAATTTATTTTAATGGAAATATTTGCGATTTTTCTTAACCTTGAATAAAAATTCAGAACCAAAAAATGAAATTTTCTTTTCAATTTTTTTTCGGTATAAATTGGTCATTTGGAAATAATGTTAGGAAGTTTTTCCCAGTAATTTAGACCCGCTCTATCGATTGAAAAAGTCTAAATTTGGAAATTATAAAAAATAAAAATTTCGATTTTTTCAAAGGGTTAGGTATCTCCTTTGGATTTTTATTTCAAAATCTTTAAGCTTCAATATCTTGAAATCCATAGGAGTGATTGAGTCAAAATTTCCAGGAATTTATTGCTCCTAATATGCTCTAAAAAACCTGTGATGGAAAATATTTCCGGGTTTATAGTTTTTGAGCAAATCGAGTTTGAAGTTTTTGACTAAATTTGGATCAAAATTCAACTTTGAGGCTCAATTGCTCAAAAACTATTTGAGGTATCAAGCTGAATTTAGCACAGATTTATAGAGAATTTAATGCTCTTTCCAATGGTATATAATTTATTTTGATTTCTTGGAATTTCAATGGAAATATTGGCCATTTTTCTTAACCTTGTCATGATTGAACAAAAATTCAGAACCAAAAAATGAAATTTTCTTTTCAATTTTTTTTCTCTCTAAATTGGTCATTTGGAAATAATTTTAAGAAGTTTTTCCCAATAATTTAGACCCGCTCTATCGATTGGAAAAGTCAAAAATTGGAAAATTTGAAAAATACAAATTTCGATTTTTTTAAAGGGTGACCGCTCTGGATTTTTATCTCAAAATCTTTAAACTTCAATATCTTGAAATCCCTGAGAGATATTGGATCAAATTTTTCAGGGAGTGTCGCTTCTATGAGGCTCTGCAAAACCTGTATTGGAAAATATTTCCAGATTTATAGTTTTTGAGAAAATTGAGTTTGAAGTTTTTGACTAAATTTGGATCAAAATTCAACTTTGAGGCTCAATTGCTCAAAAAGTATTTGAGCTATCAAACTGAATTTAGCACAGATTTATAGAGAATTTAATGCTCTTTCCAATGGTGTATAATTTATTTTGATTTGTTTGAATTTCAATGGAAATATTGGCCATTTTTCCTAATCTTGTCATGATTGAATAAAAATTCAAAACCAAAAAATGAAATTTTCTTTTCAATTTTTTTTCTCTCTAAATTGGTCATTTGGAAATAATGTTAGGAAGTTTTTCCCAGTAATTTAGACCCGCTCTATCGATTGAAAAAGTCAAAATTTGGAAAACAAAAAAAATAAAAATGTCGATTTGTGGTTATACCCCTTTGGATTTTTATTTCAAAATCTTTAAGCTTCAATATCTTGAAATCTATAGGAGTGATTGAGTCAAAATTTCCAGGAATTTGTTGCTCCTAATATGCTCTAAAAAACCTGTAATGGAAAATATTTCCGGGTTTATAGTTTTTGAGAAAATTGAGTTTGAAGTTTTTGTCTAAATTTGGACCAAAATTCAACTTTGAGGCTCAATTGCTTCAAAACTATTTGAGCTATTGAACTAAATCTTATATGGATTTATAGAGAATTTAATGCTCTTTCCAATGGTGTATAATTTATTTTGATTTCTTGGAATTTCAATGGAAATATTGGCCATTTTTCTTAACCTTGTCATGATTGAATAAAAATTCAGAACCAAAAAAATGAAATTTTTTTTTCAATTTTTTTTCTCTCTAAATTGGTCATTTGGAAATAATTTTAAGAAGTTTTTCCCAATAATTTAGACCCGCTCTATCGATTGGAAAAGTCAAAAATTGGAAAATTTGAAAAATACAAATTTCGATTGTTATCTTAAAATCTTTAAACTTCAATATCTTGAAATCCGTGAGAGATATTGGATCAAAATTTTCAGGGAGTGTCGCTTCTATTAGGCTCTGCAAAACCTGTATTGGAAAATATTTCCAGGTTTATAGTTTTTGAGAAAATTGAGTTTGAAGATTTTGTCTAAATTTGGACCAAAATTCAACTTTGAGGCTCAATTGCTTCAAAACTATTTGAGCTATTGAACTAAATCTTATATGGATTTATAGAGAATTTAATGCTCTTTCCAATGATATATAATTTATTTTGATTTCTTGAAATTTCAATGGAAATATTGGTCATTTTTCTTAACCTTGTCATGATTGAATAAAAATTCAGAACCAAAAAATGAAATTTTCTTTTCAATTTTTTTTCTCTCTAAATTGGTCATTTGGAAATAATTTTAAGAAGTTTTTCCCAATAATTTAGACCCGCTCTATCGATTGGAAAAGTCAAAAATTGGAAAATTTGAAAAATACAAATTTCGATTTTTTCAAAGGGTAACCCCTCTGGATTTTTATCTTAAAATCTTTAAACTTCAATATCTTGAAATCCGTGAGAGATATTGGATCAAAATTTTCAGGGGTTGTAGCTTCTATTAGGCTCTGCAAAACCTGTATTGGAAAATATTTCCAGATTTATAGTTTTTGAGAAAATTGAGTTTGAAGTTTTTGTCTAAATTTGGACCAAAATTCAACTTTGAGGCTCAATTGCTTCAAAACTATTTGAGCTATTGAACTAAATCTTATATGGATTTATAGAGAATTTAATGCTCTTTCCAATGATATATAATTTATTTTGATTTCTTGAAATTTCAATGGAAATATTGGCCATTTTTCTTAACCTTGTCGTGATTGAATAAAAATTCAGAACCAAAAAATGAAATTTTCTTTTCAATTTTTTTTTCTCTCTAAATTGGTCATTTGGAAATAATTTTAAGAAGTTTTTCCCAATAATTTAGACCCGCTCTATCGATTGGAAAAGTCAAAAATTGGAAAATTTGAAAAATACAAATTTCGATTTTTTCAAAGGGTTACTTACCCCCTACTAACCCAAATTTAATTTAACACAGATTTATAGAGAATTCAATAGTGTACCTAGATTATTTACTCGTTAATTTGTAACACACCCTGTATACATTATTACATAATAATATAGAAGAATTATTTGGGTTCAAAAAACAAAGCAGCAACCCTGTATATTTTTTTCAAGCAAAATTCATTTGGGGGACCAAAATTACACATAATTCAATTAAATATTTAACAAGAGAGCTTTTAGCATTTAATTAACAGTCAAAAATCGATTTAATGTTGAATGTAAACACACTCCAACGATTACGTTTACACCAAATACAATAATTTTTAAGCACAGTGCTGATATTTAATTATTTATCTATACACTGAAAAAACTTATTTTCTACAAAAAGGAAAATTCGCCCTGTCATTTAGCGCTCTATAAGAGCAAATTAATAATTCCATTTGACAAAACGAATCTGTAAAAAAATCACTTTATAACAAACATACACTGGATCATATGCATAAAACACAAGCATATGCTTTTGCTTAAGTTTTTATATTCAGCTTTATGCATGTATTTGCTTTATGTACTTTATTCATACGACTTGAATTTGAAAATGATCTTTTGGCTACTATAAGTAAATGGTTTGATAAGTGCTGAACAAATACAAAAATGTTTTGTTTAAAAGACATTTCTACCTAAAAATACATTATTTTTTTGTTTAGGAGATACACCGACATACTTTTCTGTATAATATTTAACTATAATTAAGTGAAATTCATTGAAAAATAAGCACCATTCACGGGCCTTGAGTTTTTTGAGCGAAAAATGTGTAAAATGGTAGATTCCAGTAGTGACATTTACATATAAATCATGTCAAGTAATTATGTAAAGGTTTGTTTGAGATACAATTTAGAAGTTACAATAAGTGTTTACTGGGATTTGAGGCTCAGAAACTGATATTTTTCTCGTGTAACATTTCTCTTTAACTAGTTTTGGAAGTAAACCTGTGGCTCAGAAAATAGGATGTTTCCGTAACATGTTCAGCAAAGTTTCTCATGATGGCTTTGAGACAATGAAAAGCTTCTCATAATATTCTGGTAGAACAAAATTCCAGCCTTAAAGTTGAGAAAAGCAATGAAACAAGTGTAAAAAAAAAAAATGACTAGAGTTTGCAGTTTTGCTCGTTCTTCAACTAAAAAGCTAAAATTTCAACCTTTTTACACAAATTCCACTCGACAATAGACAATTTACATACATGTTTGGGCTCCAAAAAATTGGTAGCTTAATATAATGCCGCTTTTCTCGTTGAGGAAAAATTTTAATTGTTTATTTATGTGCCGTACTAAAACCGAAAGCTGCGGCACCATTGCCGCCGCTACGATGAAAATGAACATTTTGCCACTTGTTATCGCGCTTGTGCCACACCCTGCTCTCTTCAGATTGATGTGTATGAGCTTGACCTTGCCTAATAATTATACAATATTAATTATTTAAACAATTAAACTGGTTGTTCAAGTACTTACTTGTCCATGTACTGGGTGAGCCTTACGTATGCGATACAAGCAGCATCTTCTCCTAAAAGGTGGACGTGAGGGTTTAGGATTGTGGTGTTCACTGCCTTGCAGGTTTTACCGAGTACTGGAAAATTTAAAGTTTGTATTTATAATTTTAAGTTTTTCCAACATAAATTTGTAGAAATAGAACACATTATCGCATGATGCAAAACATATTATCTACTATTACTCTCAGAAAGGTATAGGTAAATAATATAAAAATTGAGTTTTCCAGGAATTGTGGCATACAAGAAGTGGGTATTGGTAAGGTAAGGGCACACGAAAGATGTTTTTGCATTGTATGCAAATATCACACTTAAAAATTCACAGCTAAGCTATCTTTGACTTAATCCTTATAAAGTTCTAGCAATTCAAATTTGTGTAAATTATTGCATTCAATGACATTTTCCATGATTTTGGACACTTTTCAATGAAAATCTACCCAAAATAGGGTTCAAATTTACATTTAAAACCAAAAAATCGTCAAAAATTGTTTCAAATATGCTTGTTTCTGGGTTTTCTATTGAAATATCAAGAGAAATTGTCCGAAATTTGTGTGAATTATTGCATTTCAATGACATTTTCCATGATTTTGGACACTTTTCAATGAAAATCTACCCAAAATAGGGTTCAAATTTGCATTTAAAACCAAAAAATCGTCAAAAATTGTTTCAAATATGCTTGTTTCTGGGTTTTCTATTGAAATATCAAGAGAAATTGTCCGAAATTTGTGTAAATTATTGCATTTCAATGACATTTTCCATGATTTTGGACACTTTTCAATGAAAATCTACCCAAAATAGGGTTCAAATTTGCATTTCAAACCAAAAAATCATCTAAAATTGTTTGAAATATGTTTGTTTCCGAGTTTTCTATTGAAATATCAAGAGAAATTGTTCGCTTCCTATATAAGCGACAGTTTATCTTGCTAACGAACTGTATTTACGTTAATCTACTGGAGATTTGAAGAAGTTTCTTGTACCTATTTGGAATTAGGAAAACTACGTTACCAATGAACTGCATAGGTACCTATATCAAAGGATTTTTTGGAAATTTGTGCTTTATTATCAAATTGTATGTAAAAAATCAACTCCATAATGTGAAATATAAAGGGCTCATTGCAAACTTTACATAATGGTTCATAATGGAGCTACAAATACACAAATGCCTCCTCTTTTCTGTATGTACAGTGTGTATCCAGAAATTTGCACCAATAGCTATATATGGAATCATCTCATCTAGTTGGTATTTGCCTTCCACTTATGGAGTTCAAATTGGTAAATTTCCACTTACCATTATCAAAGTAAAACTTATGGAAATCCATTCCTTCTACCAAATTGCCCATTGCTTCTGGCTCGAATGCTGTTAAGTGAGGATCGCAGATTTTGCTTTGGGAAAGAAAAAGATTCAATTTACATAGGTACTCCTACCTTGATGATAATAGAAATTACTTACGTATAAGCCTCAAAATCACCAGTATTAATAGCTTCTATTAATTGTTCGGTCATTTTAATAATCTCCTGTCGTCGAGCTGCGAATATAAAATACAAAAATCAAAATAATCCTACAATAATTTATTATTATTACAACAAAACAACAGTTATAAGGAACCAAAACTACAACAGTACAACGTATAAGTACCAAGTACCACTGGTTTATACGTGAAGAATTATTGATAATATGTACATGCAAAATTTTAAAGTCAAACCTTCACAGTATCAGTCAGTTATATATAAAGTCTAATATAAGGAATAAAGAAGCAACAAAAAGGATTATACAATAATTAACACAAAATTACCTGATGAAACTTGAGAATTAGTCGATAGTTGCGAAAAAGGCTTGTCAGGACACACAATCCGTATTTCTATAATATGCATAATAACAAAGCGGTTTGTTAGTTTTTTTTGTTTGTTAAAAACATGCTTATAGGTATAATTGTCTCTTTGTCACATTGTGTCACATACATATTATTTTGTAACAATGTGACAGAGAGTATAGAGAGGAAATTGTGGTTATTTGCTTGAAATCAAAAATTACCTTTCTTTTACTAATTGCTCTCTGTTAATAGGAAAATTTTCAAAAAAAAATTACTTTACCATCAAGCTCATTGGAGTCCAAACGACGATAGGCTACAGTGTCATCTGAGTTGCATGCGTTTTTAAATGGGGAAAACAACAAAAATTCATGCGTTATTTTGGTGATTATTATTTACAAATTAGTGTTTGTGTATATTTTTGCAATATTTTTTAGTATCCCATCTTTGAAATTTTCTATAGATCATGAAAATTTGAACATTATATGATTTGTTTTGGAAAAGTTCCAAGATTGTAAAGTCAGAGCCAGAAAATAAGTTCAAATTTTCATTATTATCGGCTCTTGAGTGTTGTTCGGAAACCGACAAAAAAATTGCATTGAAATTTTCAGCATTTTTAGCTCTTGATAAGCTCTAAAAAGCCTGAAGTTTTCAGCTAAATTTAAACTAAAAACCAACTTTGAGGCTCAATTACTCAAAAACCATTTGAGCTATTGAACTCAATTTTACACGGATTTATAGAGAATTTAATGCTCTTTCCGATGATATATATTTTATCTAAATTTGCTCAAAATTCAACAAAGATATGGGCAATTGTTCATGACCATGTCAAGACTTTGAAAATTTTCAAGAGCCAAAAATAAGATTTCCTTTTTATTTTTGTTTCTACTTAAAATTGCCATTTGGAAATTATGTCAGGGTTGTTTTCCACTAATTTGTACCCGCTCTATCGATTAGGAAAATCAAAATTGAGCAAAACTGAAAAATAGAAAAATCGAATTTTTCATAAGGGAATTGAATTCTGATTTCAAAATATTCAAAACCCAATTGCTCGGTAACTGTTGGGCAAATTGCATTGAAATTTTAAGCATTTATAGTTCTTGATAAGCTTTAAAAACCCTGTAATTTACAATATTCCTAGGTGTATAATTTTTGAGCAAATTGATTTTGAAGTTTTTGGCAAAATTTGGACTAAAAATCAACTTTGAGGCTCAATTACTCCAAAACTATTTGAGCTATAAGCTCAATTTTGCCCGGATTCATAGAGAATTTAATGCTCTTTCCAATGATATATAATTTATTTCAATTTGCTCAAAATTTAACAAAGATATGGGCAATTGTTCATGACCATGTCAAGATTTTGAAAATTTTCAAGAGCCAAAAACAGGATTTCCTTTTTATTTTTGTTTCTGCTCAAAATGGCCATTTGGAAATGATGTCAGAGTGGTTTTCCACTAATTTGTACCCGCTCTATCGATTGGGAAAATCAAAATTGAGCAAAACTGAAAAATAAAAAAATCGAATTTTTCATAAGGGTAACCCCTTTGAATTCTGATTTCAAAATATTCAAACCCCAATTGCTCGGTAACCGTTGAGCAAATTGCATTGAAATTTTGAGCATTTATAGTTCTTAATAAGCTTTAAAAACCCTGTAATTCACAATATTCCTAGGTGTTTAATTTTCGAGCAAATTGATTTTGAAGTTTTTGGCAAAATTTGGACTAAAAATGAACTTTGAGGCTCAATTATTCAAAAACTGTTAGAGATATTGCACTTAATTTTAGACGGATTTATAGAGAATTTAATGCTCTTTCCGATGATATATAATTTATTCCAATTTGCTCCAAATTCAACAAAGATACGGGCAATTGCTCATGACCATGTCAAGATTTTAAAATTCTCCAGAGCGAAAAGAGAAGATTTCCTTTTTATTTTTGTTTCTGCTTGAAATGGCCATTGGGAAATGATATCAGAATTGTTTTCCACTAATTTTGACCCGCTCTATCGATTGGAAAAGTTAAAATTGAGCAAAACTGAAAAATTAAAAAATCAAGTTTTGCATAAGACCCTTTGAATTCTGATTTCAAAATATTCAAACCCCAATTGTTCGGATACCGTAGAACAAATTGCATTGAAATTTTGAGCATTTGTAACTCTCAATAAGCTTTGAAAACCCTGTAATTTATAATATTCCCAGGTTTATAGTTTTTGAGCAAATTGGGTTTGCAGTTTTTGGCAAAATTTGGACTAAAAATCAACATTGAGACTCAATTGCTTCAAAACTATTTGAGCTATCGAACTTAATCTTATATGGATTTATAGAGAATTTAATGCTCTTTCCAATGATATATAATTTATATCAATTTGCTCAAAATTTAAGAAAGATATGGTAATTGTTCATGACCATGTCAACATTTTGAAAATTCTCCAGAGCGAAAAAATAAGATTTCCTTTTTATTTTTCTTTCTGCTTGAAATGGCCATTGGGAAATGATGTCAGAATTGTTTTCCTTTAATTTTGACCCGCTCTATCGATTGGAAAAGTCAAAATTGAGCAAAACTGAAAAATTAAAAAATAGAGTTTTTTTATAAGGGGTATACCCCTTTGAATTCTGATTACAAAATATTCAAACGTCAATTGCTCGGTAACCGTTGAACAAATTGCATTGAAATTTTAAGCATTTGTAGCTCTCAATAAGCTTTGAAAATCCTTTAATTTACAATATTCCTAAGTTTATAGTTTTTGAGCAAATTGAGTTTGAAGTTTTTGGCAAAATTTGGACTAAAAATCAACTTTGAGGCTCAATTTCTCCAAAACTTTTTGAGCTATTGAACTCAATTTTGCACGGATTTATAGATAATTTAACGCTCTTTCCAATGATATATAATTTATTACAATTTGCTCAAAATTTAATAGAGATATGGGCAATTGCTCATGACAATGTCAAGATTTTGAACCAAAAATAGAATTTTCCATTTATTTTTGTTTCTGTTTAAAATGGCCATTTGGAAATGATGTCAAGGTTGTTTTCGACTAATTTTGCCCGCTCTTTTGACTGGGAAAGTCAAAATTGCAATCAAGAGCCAGGAATAATCACAAAATTATTCTCCTTTTTCAAGATTTTCCAAAATTGTACCTATAATCTTTGAACCTGTATAACTTATACAAAACTTATCGTAAATTGCTCAAACTTTCAAATCTGGTAGAGAATTTCAAGGTCTTCCAGATGATATATTTGGATTTCCTCTAAAAAAATTACTTCTGGATATACAGCGAAGAAAAACTCTTTGTGGGAAAAAAATTACAATTTCAAGCTCTACTATCAGGAATCATTAACCCACCTGCTAAATCCTTATCATTATCAGACAACATGACCTTTTTCACCGAGGATTCGATCCACTTTTCTATGTCCTGCTTATTTAAAGCGTCCATTTCTAAACAGAGGAGGTGTATTCATGCAATCGAGACATGCATAAAAGAAAAAAACAAAGGGTCATTATTAATGAACCAACATGCAATCTACTTCATTTAAATAAATATAGGACTTTGCAAGAATTATTGTGCATTAATTAGCTACTTATATTTTTCAATTCAACCTAATATAGTGTATTTTTTAATAAGCTGGTATAATCAATGATGAGGTGACAGTTTGATTAGAAAAATAGACTATATATAGGCTAAAAAACTCTTCATTTTCATTATCCATATAGCTAGTTTTCTCTGACTATAATAAATAATGAACTATTTCGTGTACAAAAGCCATTAATTACTTAATCGACGATGGTAGCAGTAGTAGTTCAGGTGCGCCTCAAACAATCTATTTTTGTAAAAGTTTTAAAAATTTCATAACGCTATATAGGGGGAAACTTTTTCAATTAGTTTTAGAGCAAACTTCAAAAAAATAACGAAAACCTTTGGTTAGAGGGACTGAAAAAAATCACACACCCGGGGGGCACTTACAAATAATCAAATTCAGTCCGTTCGAATCCAAGCGAGGGCGTTTTGTCACGTGACCTGAATTTCAAATTAAAAAGGCAACAATAAAACAAAGCGAAAATGTTAGTACTTAAGTATAGGTACTTGAAAAGTTATGAGGCATTATTGGATTTTACACAAAATCTATATAGTCTAACCTTGGACGGATTGCAATAGGGCCTGTCCTAAATTGAGAGTAGTTTTTGAGGTTGTAACGGTGGTGATACTGCTAGAGGGAGAATTGCAAGTACTCAGTGGTACTCTTGGTGATTGCGGTGGGGTGCCTGATAGGCCTAGAAAAAACATTTCTAGATGTAAATATTTCAATATCATATGAATCATCATCTAAAAGAAAGTCTTTCATGGTAGGTACTGGTACTACCAAAAATTTCAAAACGGTAATAATAAAAGCAAGAGGGTAAAAAGTTACAGGTTGTGCTTTTTCAATTCAGGTAACACAACACAATTTTGCCTGAGCAAAACAGAAGTAGGTAAGGTACTTCCCGAGTTGACCCGATGAGTGTTGGGCAATGATTCTTTCTTTTCTCATCTTCGTGATTTTATCACTTTATTGCGGTTGTCTTTGGACATAAAAGGAAGGGTTCGGGCCCTTTGTATTGGATTTTGTTCATTGGTAATTCAGTACCTATTGTTGATAGTGTACCTATACAAATAACTAAATTTGGTAAGTAGGTACCCAGCAACTTTTATTTATTGCATTTTGAGGATTTTTGTCCTATAAATTCAAATCAATGTCCCCCATTGTTGGCAAGTTTAAATCTGCACCAATTTGTTGCAGGGGAGTTTAAAGCATAGTGTTATACTAAATTTTCAAATTGCTCAAGTTTAAACTTGAACTACGTAGAAATCATTTTCATTTCTAGAAATGAAAATGTCTTCTGCATTCTCCATTATCCATTTTATTCTGAGACACTCTCATCACTTGCCAGAAGCTATATTTGTCTTTTTCTGAACCAACAAAGATTGACAATGAATGACACTACTGAGTGTCTAATTTTAGACAGTTTTTAACGCAAGGCCAACTCGATAAAATGTTCTTCCAGAATTTTTATCTGCTTCACTGGTACTGTCTATTCAACAGATAATCAAAATTTTTTTTTTTAGTCAATTTTTGTCTATTCTCGGCTCTTGAAGTTGATTGTCAGTAGCCACTTCTGTCAAATTGTACAGTGAAGTATTGGTCAAATAATTATGCATGTGTCAATCCATGGCCAACTTGATAACATATTTTTCCAGAAAGTCCCTTTGTTAGTATGAATTTAATCCTATTGTACGCCACTGGTATTTTCCTGTTTTTGACTAACCCCTCAACCTTTCCATATTGTCACTCTCATTGTATAGAAAAGGAGGGCCGATGACAAACTGTCAATTCAACAAATAATGAAAATTTCTTTTTGATCAATTTTTGTCTATCCCCGGCTCTTGGAGTTGACAGAAATACTCGTTTATGAGAGGCGAACTTGATGCCCCACAGGGACTTTATTTTTGAAACCGGGGAGCAACGCAGTGGCGGTCCATACATGATTATCTAGGGGGGGGGGGGGGGGGGGGGTAATGGATAACGGGAAAATCATATGTAGAAAACTCAAAGCGATTGAGTTATTACTAACAGAGTTATGATTTTTTTAAAATAATGATGTTATGTAAAGTAAGACTTTACAAACAATTTTTTCACTCAAAAACTAAAGTGAGTGAAAAGTTGAAATTTGATTGAGGACTTTTTCCTAATGATTCAATGTAAAAAATACCAAAAACTCAAAGCCATTGAGCTATTATTAATAGAGTTACGATTTTTTGAAAATAATGATGTTTTGTAAAGTAAGACTTTACAAACAATTTTTTCACTCAAAAACTAAAGTGAGTGGAAAGTTGAAATTTTGAGGACTTTTTCCTAATGATTCAGTGTAAAAATTATCAAAAACTCAAAGCGATTGAGCTATTATTAATGGAGTTACGATTTTTTGAAAATAATGATGATGTTTTGTAAAGTAGATTTATTACATACAATTTTTTCACTCAAAAACTAAAGTGAGTGGAAAGTTGAAATTTTGAGGACTTTTTCCTAATGATTCAATGTAAAAAATACCAAAAACTCAAAGCCATTGAGTTATTATTAATAGAGTTACGATTTTTTGAAAATAATGATGTTTTGTAAAGTAAGACTTTACAAACAATTTTTTCACTCAAAAACTAGAGTGAGTGGAAAGTTGAAATTTTGAGGACTCTTTCCTAATGATTCAATGTAAAAAATACCAAAAACACAAAGCGATTGAGTTATTATTGATGGAGTTACGATTTTTTGAAAATAATGATAATGTTTTGTAAAGTAAGATTTTACATACAATTTTTTCACTCAAAAACTAAAGTGAGTGGAAAGTTGAAATTTTAAGGACTTTTTTCTAATGATTCAATGTAAAAAATATCAAAAACCCAAACCAATTGAGTTATTATTAATGGAGTTACGATTTTTTGAAAATAATGATGTTTTGTAGAGTATGATTTTACATACAGTTTTTTCACTCAAAAACTAAAGTGAGTGGAAAGTTGAAATTTTGAGGACTTTTTCCTAATGATTTAATGTAAAAAATACCAAAAACTCAAATTCATTGAGTTATTATTAATGGAGTTACGATTTTTTGAAAATAATGATAATGTTTTGTAAAGTAAGATTTTACATACAATTTTTTCACTCAAAAACTAAAGTGAGTGGAAAGTTGAAATTTTGAGGACTTTTTCCTAATGATTCAATGTAAAAAATACCAAAAACTCAAAGCGATTGAGTTATTATTAATGGAGTTACGATTTTTTGAAAAAAATGATGTTTTGTAAAGTAAGACTTTACATACAATTTTTTCACTCAAAAACTAAAGTGAGTGGAAAGTTGAAATTTTATTGAGGACTTTTTCATAATGATTCAATGTAAAAAATACCAAAAACTCAAAGCGATTGAGTTATTATTAATGGAGTTACGATTTTTTGAAAAAAATGATGTTTTGTAAAGTAAGACTTTACATACAATTTTTTCACTCAAAAAGTAAAGTGAGTGGAAAGTTGAAATTTTGAGGACTTTTTCCTAATGATTCAGTGTAAAAAATACCAAAAACTCAAAGCGATTGAGTTATTATTAATGGAGTTACGATTTTTTGAAAAAAATGATGTTTTGTAAAGTAAGACTTTACATACAATTTTGTCACTCAAAAACTAAAGTGAGTGGAAAGTTGAAATTTTATTGAGGACTTTTTCATAATGATTCAATGTAAAAAATACCAAAAACTCAAAGCGATTGAGTTATTATTAATGGAGTTACGATTTTTTGAAAAAAATGATGTTTTGTAAAGTAAGACTTTACATACAATTTTTTCACTCAAAAACTAAAGTGAGTGGAAAGTTGAAATTTTGAGGACTTTTTCCTAATGATTCAGTGTAAAAAATACCAAAAACTCAAATTCATTGAGTTATTATTAATGGAGTTACGATTTTTTGAAAATAATGATAATGTTTTGTAAAGTAAGATTTTACATACAATTTTTTCACTCAAAAACTAAAGTGAGTGGAAAGTTGAAATTTTGAGGACTTTTTCCTAAAGGTTCAATGTAAAAAATACTAAAAACTCAAAGCGATTGAGTTATTATTAATGGAGTTACGATTTTTTGAAAATAATGCTGTTTTGTAAAGTAAGACTTTGCATACAATTTTTTCACTCAAAAACTAAAGTGAGTGGAAAGTTGAAATTTTGAGGACTTTTTCCTAATGATTCAATGTAAAAAATACCAAAAATTCAAACCAATTGAGTTATTATTAATGGAGTTACGATTTATGAAAAAAATGGTGTTTTGTAAAGTAAGACTTTGCATACAATTTTTTCACTCAAAAACTAAAGTGAGTGGAAAGTTGAAATTTTGATGACTTTTTCCTAATGATTCAATGTAAAAAATACCAAAAACTCAAAGCGATTGAGTTATTATTAATGGAGTTACGATTTTTTGAAAAAAATGATGTTTTGTAAAGTAAGACTTTACATACAATTTTTTCACTCAAAAACTAAAGTGAGTGGAAAGTTGAAATTTTGAGGACTTTTTCCTAATGATTCAATGTAAAAAATACCAAAAATTCAAACCAATTGAGTTATTATTAATGGAGTTACGATTTTTTGAAAAAAATGGTGTTTTGTAAAGTAAGACTTTGCATACAATTTTTTCACTCAAAAACTAAAGTGAGTGGAAAGTTGAAATTTTGAGGACTTTTTCCTAATGATTCAATGTAAAAAATACCAAAAACTCAAAGCGATTGAGTTATTATTAATGGAGTTACGATTTTTTGAAAAAAATGGTGTTTTGTAAAGTAAGACTTTGCATACAATTTTTTCACTCAAAAACTAAAGTGAGTGGAAAGTTGAAATTTTGAGGACTCTTTCCTAATGATTCAATGTAAAAAATACCAAAAACACAAAGCGATTGAGTTTTTATTAATGGAGTTACGATTTTTTGAAAATAATGATGTTTTGTAAAGTAAGACTTTACAAACAATTTTTTCACTCAAAGACTAAAGTGAGTGGAAAGTTGAAATTTTATTGAGGACTTTTTCCTAATGATTCAATGTAAAAAATACCAAAAACTCAAAGCGATTGAGTTATTATTAATGGAGTTACGATTTTTTGAAAATAATGCTGTTTTGTAAAGTAAGACTTTGCATACAATTTTTTCACTCAAAAACTAAAGTGAGTGGAAAGTTGAAATTTTGAGGACTCTTTCCTAATGATTCAATGTAAAAAATACCAAAAACACAAAGCGATTGAGTTATTATTAATGGAGTTACGATTTTTTGAAAATAATGCTGTTTTGTAAAGTAAGACTTTGCATACAATTTTTTCACTCAAAAACTAAAGTGAGTGGAAAGTTGAAATTTTGAGGACTTTTTCCTAATGATTCAATGTAAAAAATACCAAAAATTCAAACCAATTGAGTTATTATTAATGGAGTTACGATTTTTTGAAAAAAATGGTGTTTTGTAAAGTAAGACTTTGCATACAATTTTTTCACTCAAAAACTAAAGTGAGTGGAAAGTTGAAATTTTGAGGACTTTTTCCTAATGATTCAATGTAAAAAATACCAAAAACTCAAAGCGATTGAGTTATTATTAATGGAGTTACGATTTTTTGAAAAAAATGATGTTTTGTAAAGTAAGACTTTACATACAATTTTTTCACTCAAAAACTAAAGTGAGTGGAAAGTTGAAATTTTGAGGACTTTTTCCTAATGATTCAGTGTAAAAA